GATCTCTGGGAGGGGCCTGAGACTCCAGCAGAGGACTGGAGGTGGAGTCAGAGACCAAGCATGTGGAAATTACTGGGTGGTTCCTTGTGGATAGGCAGGTCTCCTTTGTTCAGAGTTGCTCCAAGAAGTCTCAGAAGTAGGGTGGACTGTTGGCTCCATCGTCTGTCCCAGTGCTCAACTAGTGTGGCATAACAGTGGGCAGGGTAGGGCACAGGGTTGGAGGGGCAGGCCTGCAGTAGGGATGTGTGGGAGTTTATCAGAGCTCCAAGAGTGCTCTCAATGGGGGCAGGACACAGGAGCAGTGGGATCAGGGACCAACCCAGGGAGTTGAGGGGTGGAGGGGAGAGGTTGTAGGGGAGAGGCCACCCCAATTGGGCCCAGACTCACCTCTAGCCAATGGCTGGTTGAAGTGGACAAAGCCTGAGCTGTAACTTGGGAAGTTTTGGCAGGATAGTCGGATCTCACTGGAAACTGGAATTCTCCAGCTGAGGCCTCTTTTTTTTAGCAGAGGCCCTGCTTTGGGGGTCAGGGATCTTGCCAGTGGGAACTCAGAGTGGGGTTATATTCATTATTTTGGCAGCTAATGACTTTGAAAAACTATGGGTTACATTATACATAAAATTTAAGCAAATTCTTTATAGTGACCAATGTATGCATGGACATATACATACTAATTCATTATAAGACTCATTGGAGCAAAGTGAGCAATCATTAGAGGATATAATTAGACACATTTGGAAGGTCATAAGAGTATTCTGAGAGTAAGTAAGTAATTAAGGTAAATTGGTGTTTTGAGCTTAATATGAGTAAGCAATAACTATGGAGGAAAATTTTTAATATGACTAAATTTCTGGAAATTGTCTCAAGTGATATAAAATGCACAATAAGGGAATTATCAGTATGTGGACAAAGCAGCCATAAAACAATAACAAAAAAAAAAAAAAACAAAAAAAAAAACAAGACAATTCATGAAGAAAAGCTTTTGTCTTATTCACTCATTTGTATTTTTTTTTCATTTTACATACCAACCCTAGTTTCCCTCCCTCCTTTTCTCTAGCTCCATACCTCATTCTACTACCATCCATTTTTCAGAGGGAGTGTGGAGCCCATTCCCTATGGTGGGATATTTTGCTCAATCTTGATACAAGGAAAGGTACTTGGTCCAGCCTCAACTTGATATGCAGGACTTTGTTGAAGCAATCTCTTTAATGGCTTGCTTCAGTTCAAGGAATGCATAGCTATAGGAAGTGATAGACATTTTATTAATTAGACAACAATACCATATATATGGATTTCAATTATGGTACAGTTATGACAAATAGCATATCAACTAATTTGGTTACAATTTGCTAGACTTTTTTGTTTTGTTTTGTTTTGTTTTTCATTCTAATAAAACAAATTAGGTGGTTAGGAGATGCCACAATTAGAAACCAATAAAATTTAACTCTAAAAATTTTATTTTTGAGTTAAGAAAAAATTTAAATGAATTAAAAAGAAATATCAATATCCCTATATTGAATTTTAACTATATACATCCATAAACACAAAAAATATATCCCCAGAGACTATTGGAATGCATTGATATTATATTAAAAATGAAAATAAATACACTTCGTAGTATTAATTTTACCAAGTATGAACTTGTTTTTTCTACTTTTTTCCATGTGTCTTCCATTTACCCATAAGAAACATTTTTGCTTTATGTTTATTTAACACCACAAAAATATGTGAAAGGAATGAGGGATACTTTACAAAAAGTTTAACAGAGTTTTACAAGGGAGTTAGTAACTTAACTGACCTAAAATAGCTAAAAAAAAAAATTACAACCAGATTGATCAAGCTATATATGCATGTTGTTTCCAAGATTTGTATGTCATTATTCTTGTAAAAGGTTCTTGCAACTTGTTGTCTTCTTTCAACACATATCACAACACACACATGAATGCATACATTGCATATATGTGTTCATACAAGCATACATACATAAATTACTAAGAGTAAGAGACATGGAAGAACATATAAGTTAAGATTCCATACTTGTATTAATGTAGATTGTTAACTAAGAGACAAAGCAATGAGTTGGGTACATAAAAGAAATTGGAGGGAGAAGAGAATAAGTACATATTTAGACAGCTTGTTTAATATTCTGAAATAATTGCAAGGATTTTTTTTTTTTTTTTGCCTTTGCTTTTTGGTCTGTAATACTTTGGTAAGAGTGTGATTATATTAGAAAATGCTATGAAAAATGATGATGCTGCTTTACTCTGTTTTGTATTGCTATGAAGATACACCATGACCCTTGCAACTCTTATAAAGTAAAAATGTAATTGGATCTGGCTTGCATTTCAGAAGGTTAATCCATTATCAACATGGCAGGCAGTATGGCAGCACACAGGCAGATATGGTACTGTAAAAGTTGGTGTGAATTCTCAACTGGATCATTAGGCAGCAGGAAGACAGAAACACTGGGCCTGATGTGAGTAATCAAACTTCCCAACTCACCCACTGGGCACTGGTGTAGTTAGAGGAAATATGGGCTTTACAGGAAAATGCAGGAGTAATTTAAGTTATGAGATAAAGATGATCGTAAAATGGTTTTATTCTTCACTGTATTTTGTTTGTTTGATTATTTAGGATATTAGAGAAAAGGGGTACTGCAATATAGTTCAAAGATCCTGCAAATGTATGTGGGATATTTATCTTAAATGCCCTTCCCCCATAATGAGATTAATGACTACCTTATATGCCATCCTAGAGTGTTCATCTAGTAGCTGATAGAAGCTGAAACAGACACCCACAGCTAAACACTGAGCCAAATTCCTGGAATCCAGTTGCAGAGAGGGAGGAGTGATGAGCAAAGGGGTCAAAACCAGGCTGGAGAAACCCACAGAGACAGCTGACCTGAACAAGGGGGAGCTCATGCATGCACCCCAGTCTGATAGCTGGAAAATCAGCATAGGACTTACCCAAGTTCCCTGAGTGTGTGTGTTAGGAGAACTGGGCAGTCCTTGGGGCCTCTGGTAATGGATCAGTATTTATCCCTAGTATATACATGGACTTTGTAAGCCCATCTCACATAGAGGGAAACTCTTTCAGTCTAGACACATGTAGGACGGCCTAGGTCCTGCTCCAAATGATATGACAGACTTTGCAGACTCCACATAGAAGCCCTCACCCTTCCTGGGGAACAGAGAGGGGATTGCTTGGGGTTGATGGCAGGGGGCAGCATGGAATGATGGGAGGTAAGGGAACTGGGATTGACATGTAAAACAAGCTTGTTCCAAATTTAAATTTAAAAAAAAAAAATTCTCACACAAAATCAAAAACATAACAAACAAACAAACAAGATACAAATTCATTGACTAAAAGTACTGACACATTAACATGGTCATAGATTGTAAAACAATGAAGGAGAAAACTTCACAGATGGTTATAGAAATGATATTTAGTACTAACAAAGATTTAGCATTGGATTCTGTTGTCAGAGATTACATGTCTAAATGCTGATTAGTGCATTGATAATTTGGGATCTGTTCTTAAGAAAATGTTGGCATTTGCTTTCTTTGGATACCAACGTTTCAGAAAGAAAAAACTTAGAACTATATTACAATTATCCATTTTACAAAATAAAAGTGTTATGCTTCAGTTTTGAGTTCATTTTTCAGGTGTTCATGTTGAGAAATGATAGTTAAAGTGATTGAAAATAGGAAGGGTCTGGGAAGATTCTAGATTTTGGATACTGTTAGTGATGACAATTAATATGAAACTATAAATTTTGTTATTTCTGTCCGTGTGTGTGTTTCTGTGTATGTGTGTGTGTGTAAAAGATAGAGAGAGAGAGAGAGAGAGAGAGAGAGAGAGAGAGAGAGAGAGAGAGAGAGAGAGAGTATGTATTTGCAAATGTATTCTGGTGTCTGTTCAGGCTAGAACTGATTGTTAGACCCGCTGGAAAGGAGTACTAAGTTGTGATGCACCTGATGTGGGTGATGAAAACTAAACTTGAATCGCCAATGAGAACAACATGTATTGTAGAGGCACTGGTTCATCACTCCAAGCTGTCTTCTTGGTGGAAAAAAGAAAAATCAAGTCTGATGTTACTAATAAAAGCATCTTGTTAATCAGTGACTCACTGCCTTTTAGGAATCATTAATGTAAGTTTCATTATACTGAAATTAGGAAAAGAGAATTTGTGGTGTGTGTGTGTGTGTGTGTGTGTGTGTGTGTGTGTGTGTGTGTGTGTATTGGCGAGGAAGCTATATGGAAAATGCAAAATATGAATATATAATGCACCAATATTTATGGGCAATATCATGAAGGTAGGAGACTCTATTCTGATCCAGAATAGAGTATTTTTGTTCCTATGTCAGTGCCTTTGTATATGAAAATCGATACCAGAGGTTAATATCAGTATCTATTCTCTTATTTTTTTTTTTTTTTTGTATTGTGTATAGTTTGTAGAAGCAACTAGATTGGCAGACCAGAAAGAAGAGGACATCCTCTCGACTGCCTGCATAGGACTGAGATGTAAGGTGTGTACCACTACCTAAGTAATAAGAAATTTAATCAAAACTGATGACAGGTAATGAAAAGTGAAAGAAAGATCATAGGGGAAATAATCAAAACAAAGTGTGGAATCAATGAGAACAATGTATGCATAACTAAAATAGTCATTCAAGAATTCTTTTAAGACAGGGGTCAGTTTGTGAGTAATATGCTTACTGTCATAAATATATGAAGAAACAAATGATAATAAAGGGCGCCCTTGCAACTGCCCTTGAAGCTAGTTGGAACCTCAGCTCTGTGACTTCATACAACATCCAAATTACTGTACATATAAAATTCTGTGGGTCCTCTTGCAGTGGAATCAGTATTAATCCCTAGTGCCTGAATGGGCTTTGGGAGCCCATTCCCTATAGAGAGATAATCTCTCAACCTGGATACACAGGTGGTGGGGATTTTTCCTTACCCAAATGATGTCATAGACTTTGATGATTCCCGATAGGAGGCCTCACCTTCTCTGTGGAGTGGGCAGGGGATGGAATGGTGTTTGGTGGGGGGACAGGAAATCCTGGAGGGAGAAGGGACTTTGATTGGTATGGAAAATAAGATTGTTTTTAATTTAAATAAAAATTAATTTAAACTGATAAGAACAGATAATACACTTGATCTTAGCCAAAAGGCCAAGAAGTAATAATAAAAAATTAATTTAAAAAAGAAAAATATGAAATTCTGCCTTCAGTCATCCTGTATTTATTATGAATGCATTCCATAATAGTTTGAATATACTTAATAGACACAACTTTTACTGTATTTCCATTTACAACAGCCTTGAAAGTTTCAAAATTACTCAGTAAAATCACATACATTAAATAAAGGAATAAACCAATACAACTTCTTAATCTTGCTTTTGCATTTGGCATGCACCTACCCTCAATTCCATATCAATAAACCTTTGTCTTGATGTCTAATATCTTTCTTGAGGACTAAGTAATTTTATATAACAAACCTTTGCATCCAGAATATTATAACCTCTAAAATAAGAGATTGGATGACACACTATTCTGACAATGGAATGGGCACTAGTATTCTTGTAATTGTACATTAGGTGATTGACAGCTATTATGACATGTTATTAAGTACAAGTCTTCCCACATCTTGAGCAATCTGGACAATACAGAATTTATTCTATATGTACTGATTTTCTACCTAAACAAATGGAAGAATGTTTATCTCTGTGCAGCACACAGAGCTTCATCTGCATGTGCTCATGACCCTTAAGTCACTTTAATATTTAACATCTAAATGGGTTTTATGAGGTATTTGGATTTTAGAACCTTTCATTAAGCAATCCTAACATAATATTATATTATTTCAGCTTATCATTCAATGCTGTCTAGAAAATAATGATTCTAAGTATAATTGCTCTTCCCCTAAAACATCATCCTTTCCGTTTTAAAATTTTCAACTAAAAAATGAGGAACTGGAGTTGAACTAAGTTCTCAACTGAGGCAATTCAGAGTAAAAGTTAACATAAAAAATTTGGATGCAGTGATACTTCATATGAGGAAGAAAAGATCAACTTAATATTCAATATTAGCTATATATGTTTTCTTGGGATTCCTTTAGACCTTATTTACTAGGTTGTGATATTTAACCAATTCATCGGGAATAGAGAAGTCTGTTTGGTGAAGTACCTGAAGATTGGAAAGTTTGGCTTCCTTTCTGTATACTAATGGCATTTCAAAACTAATTCTTGAGGAGCAGGTAACAAGTTATCAATGAATTAAAAGAAACTTTCAAGAAATGAAAGGAATGAACATATTAATGAAGCTCAAAAAGAATTATTTATACACATGAACTAATCTATATTTGCTAATTTTCAATTTTCTAAGAGATTGTTCCAGAATCATCATAGCATGTGACAGAGTTCACCTTTTTCAATTTTGCATCATAACAACATAAGAAGTCACATGGTGAGAGAGGGAAACCAAGTGCCAGAATCATATTTTTATCAATCCATGAGTGTCATATAGGCACCTCACTTTAATGATCTCAACACTTTACCATGGCTTTACTCCCAAATATCTTTAATGTGTAGACTGGGTAATTAATTCTTTGACAAATTCATTTCTTTCAGAACATAAAGAAAGCATAAGAATGTGATAATATAGAGGAAGGTAAAAATGACTTGTATGAGTAATTTAAATGCAAAATTTGGGAGCATCCAAGAACATTGTCTAAAGTCTTTGCTTCCAGACCATTTAATATTTACCCAATTAAAAATGGCAAAGAGATACAATGTCCATATAAAAGTATTTTCTATACACTCAGGAATAAAGAACATAATTTATATTATTACAAAGATGTAAGGTGTATGGATTTTCCGCCTTCCACCTAGTCTTGTCCCGCCGCCGCGCCTGCCCCAAATAACACACAGAGACTCTGTATTTGATATTATACTGTTGGCCAGTTACTATTTTCTTATCGGCTAGCTCTGTCTTAAGTATTAACCCATTTGTGTTAATCTATGAATTTCCACATGGTCTTCGTACCCGGAGCTTGCTGCCGCATACTGCTCTCTCCAGACTATCCATCTTGGCTCCTCCTTACTACTTCCTTTCTCCTCCTTGTCTCCTAGTCCCTCCTATCTTCCTTTCCTATTGGCCAACAGTGGTTTATTCATTAACCAGTATGAGAAACATATATAGAATGACATCTCCCATCACAAAGAATATCACTATGGCATGTTAATGGAAGTACTAATCCATTAGGGAACATTTTCCTTCTTATTTTATAATCACCAAGTGGATCAAACTCAATCAATTTCTATTATTCAGAAGCCTTCTGATATTTCTATTTCCAAAAGTACAATGAATGCACCTCTGTGTATCAGAAATGAAACAGCAAAAAAATAAAAACCAAACCCAACAAACAAACAAACATCATCTATGGAGTTACTTGACCAGGACAAGGACAATTCTTATGAAAGAATGTATAATATGGGGGTTGCTTACAGTTTCAGAGGGTTAATCCATTATCATCTTGGTAGAATGAAGTCAGTTGCTGAGAGTTTTGCATCCTGCTACACATGCTACAAGTGCAACAAGTACAGAAAGAGAGAGGGGGGAGAGAAGGAGGGAGAGAGAGAGAGTCTGAGCCTGAAAAGAGACTTTGAGAAACTTTAAAGCACCCTCCCTTCCCCCAAACAACACTCTTTCTCCAAGGACAAACTCCAAAAAGTTGACAACTCCTAATTCCTCCAAACACTTCCCCATCTGAAACTAAGCATGCAAATATTTGAACCTATGTTGGGGAAGAAGCTATTCTCATTGAAAGTTTCACAGACTGTTACACATCTTTTGCAAATGTATAAAGTGGTAGAACAGCACTTAAAAAGTGTCTAATATTGTAGCCATTAATGGGAATTTAAAGCAGATATTTTCTCAGAATGGAGATGTTGCTAAGCTTCTTTTTTCTCTTTAACATAATTTCTTTATGAATCCTTGAAAATTTCACATTGTGCACCCCAAATCCACAGTGACCCTAAAAGAAAATTAAAAATAAAATATCAAACAAAACTAAATTAAAACAAGGAAACAAACAAAAATTAAAAGAAAAACCAAACAAGTTAAACAAACAAACAAACAAACAAAAGCAAATAAAATCAAAAAACCTTTTCACTCTTCATCTTTCCCTCCTCTTCAATATATAATCTCCTCATCAGGTTTGGTGGTATTGGGAGTGCTATGCTTTTCTTATATCTGTATGTTATTTTGGTCTTATTTAACTGATACCATTTATAAAATTATACAGCAATAATCAGTACCTACACGTTGAAAAAAGGTACAAAACTTAGACAATATAAATGAACCCACTAAGAATCTCTAAAAGGATTTGTGACATACTTCCACTTGTTAGTTTTGAGTTTTCCTATGAAATAATTGTTGACATATCTCAAGATTTTACCCAATTCCTACAAAGTCAGCTTATGATTGTCTTGTTTTTTCTTCTTTAATGATTTATTCAATTTAAAAGGGGGAACATACTTGAAGGGTAGTTACGAAATCCTGTTACTTTCCAAGGTGAAACAAAGTACACTCCTTAAGTTTCAGCCTACAGCTGGAGAGATGGACCAGAGTGTTTAAATTCTACTGCCCAATAGTACACGATATTGAAGCGAAGAAGTTTTTCAATAGTTTTTAGTTTATTGGTGTAACATGAACCAATAAGCATATGTTTTCTTAAAGAGTCATAGTGGTATAAAATTTTCTGCTATTGTTCATCCATTAAAAAAATATGAGCCTGATTTTTAGTTCATTTGTTTGTTTTTGTTGTTTGTTTATTTGTTTGTTTGTTGTTTTTTTGATGCAGGGTTTCTCTGTGGCTTTGGAGACTGTTCTGGAACTGGCTCTTGTAGATCAACCAGAGATCTGCCTGTCTCTGCCATCAGAGGGTTGGGATTAAAGGAGTGTGCTACCAATGCCAGACTTAAATGCTTTAAAGGAATTAAACTAACCTCCTATAAAATTGTTACTTACATTAATAGTGGTATTACTCTAGCACTATTTGGAAGGTGCCAGTAGATCTGTGAGAACACCGATTTTTCTATGTCTCCTTGAATAATTGATGATTAACTGTTTTCAGAAAGCATTCTTTCACAGAAATCATGTTAGCTATCCATGTTCTCTACTAAATAAGCATGCCTTATCATATAACAAATTATATCTTACCATGTGATATGGAATATGTCCTGAAGCAGGCTAATTAATGCCTACATTTTTAAAGTTCCCCTTGACATTAGTAGATGAGGTCCTTATAAGGGGTTGATAAAGTATTTTCATTTTCTAAGAACATTAGTCATGAAGAAAATGTAGCCACAGACCCCTCCCCAAATACACTATAAAGTTATTGGTCATCTACAAATAAATTTGGTCCTAAGAATTCTAGGCATTATATTTCTCTGAGGTAATTTCCCATCCTAATCAATTTTTTTTCCACAAACCAAACAAATATTCACATCAAATAGACATATATTTACTGATTTTCAGTGTAGTTTTCCTTTAAATATTATTTATTTTCTTCATTCTTTGACAAAAATATATGTGGAATACAGAAACATAAGTTGATAGGTGATCAATATAGGAAAATTATATACATACATGACTATATGATTTAAAAATCTTTATTTTCATGAGTGAAAGGATTATGTTCTCATGGAAAATTCTTAAGATTTTATGAAAATGACTATTTCAACTTTTTCAATTATATGTGATAAATATCATTTTCAAACAAATATATGGATTAGACATGATAATGCCCCTAAAACAAACTTTTCAAGCCTATATCCCTTTCATCAAAAAATTGTGTATTCAAGAAATCAATAATTCTCAAATTTGTTTAGTAAGAGTTATTGTTTGAAATTGAGTTTTAATAAAGCCATATATTCTGTGATTTATTCTTGTCACCCTAATCAACGTGAATGAGAGGAAAGTACAATGTGGTCTCTGAAAAAATTGAATGTCAAAGAAGAGAGAATGGGTTAGGTGTCCCCAAGTTATGTGAATACCAAGAAGTAATTACATGCCACAGAGAGTACAGGCATTATTCACATTACTAATGACCGCATATTTGGGGAAACTAAATGAGTCTATGATATATGGTGGTATGGCAATTTGGAATGTTGGTAAATCAT